TCTCTTTCAATCTTATCTGACAAGAGCTTCTAATTGAGCAGAACTTCTAATTGAGCATATGGAGGAAGATTAACTACATCCCCCTTTATATGCATGATCATGGCCAATTTAGTACCAAGATTATAGCCCTTAAAAGGAATATTGTGAGTATAGTGGAAGTTATAAGGACATGATTGTAAGCAACCAAAAAAAATGATTTGAAAAATGATTCATAAAGTTCAAATGTAATGAAAAAAGGCAGTGCACCCCCTTTTTTAATCAGTTAAAGGTTTTGGGATAGTTAAAATTAAGTGTCCTTGGGTTTGAATAATATTGGGTTGGGTAACTTCCCGGGAAGTTAAAATTCAAGAACTTACATTTGGTATCAAAGGAACTCTGTTAATTGGCTAAACGAATCGCACCACATGTTAATTAATATCTGGTAGGTTTAGTTTGCTCCAACTGGGCTCGACCTAAGGGGTAGGGTGTCAAGAGAGCAGAGCTTAAGGGTGTCAAGAGTGTCAAGAGAGTTCCAACTTTTACCTTATGTTCACGAGGGTGTGAACTTGCAGGGAAGTGTAGTGGATTGTAAGCAATAAAAGTGAACAACTTGTACCTTCCATTCACGAAGGCGTGAATTTGCAGGGAAGTGTGGTGGATTATAAGCAATCAAAGAGACCAACTTGAGAAACGATCCATAATATAAAGGGAAATGGCCTATGAATAAAAGTGCACTTCATTTCCCAATTAGTTAAGGGTCTTGGGATAGTTGGGGTTAAATGTCATTAGGTTTGAATAATATTGAGTTAAATGATCTCTTAAAAAATTTAGATTCAAAAGCTTATAAGGACAAAGTTAATAATGGTAACATTGTTCATTCTAAAAGAAAAGTTTGTAAAAACTCTATTGGTAAGAAAGGAACTCTTTGGTCTCCACAAGAAAGCTTGTCAACTGTAATAATTATAAAAAGTCTAGAATGAATATACTTGTGAAAAAATAAAATAGAAAAGAAGTTAATGATTCCAAAACTTAAGCTCATTTTAATGATTAGATATAAATTTCTTTATCAAGATAAGATGATAGAATATTTAAGCATATTCTATATCCAGTACCATATATCAAATTATACACAAATCAGCAGTGTAATATATAGTAAGAAATTGACATACAATTAAATACCTTGCATATCCAAAACCAAACTCATATTTATAATAGTATTTTAAAATAAAAATCATATGATAAATATAATAGTTTTCATGTATGAACTTCCTTCTTTTCCCACAAGTCACACTATAGTATGAGGACAAGTATAATCCAGGCAACACTTTGAAAGGATGACATGCGACTTTTGGGTATTTGTGAATTCCTTCCAAAAAGATGGCCTTGGATACTGTCTGATACATGAATCCAAATTGTATTATGATTGGCCTTTGCACTACAAGAGGAAACACAATTGAACATATCTTTATAGATAAAAAATACAGGCTGTTTGGAGTGTCTGGACAAACAAGCATCCAACTTAGATTTCCTTTCGAAGCTTTGCAACCATATAAGCTCATATGATATATAAAGCTATATAAAGTTGAGCTATATTAACTTTAGATACCACGGCTATATAAAATCAGGGATACAAAGGTGTAATTTAGGGGTTTAAATTGTAATGTTTATGCACTTTTCCCTTTTCTGACAAGGTACCCTAATCTTGACATTTATATTATTTACTAGTATTATATAACTAATATAAATATATAATTTTCACTACAAGTTTAGAAAATAATAATTTTTTGTGCTTAGCAATAATGCTTGGTTTGCTTAATAGCCCTTTATAAAGAAAAAAAAATCAAACATCCAATCCACCATCATATCAACTACCTAAGGATGTCATCAGCCATAGTCCCAAAGGAAGGAGATCTCATTTGGGATCACTACATCAAACTAGAATTAGTTAAAATGATTCATGACAACCATTCTTTGAGAGCCATCTAGCATTACATTTTATTAGATCATTCTTGGGCATTACATAAAAGGTAAATTGACATATTAGCAAGTTAGAGTCCCATTTAGGTATGCAATCAAGAAAATCCTTGGCTCAATCAATCTATACTTAATTGAGGCAGTTGTTTTGTGCAAAGCTATTTACATTATGGTGTTACAGAGTGGAGTGGCATTCGATCTTTGCCTTGATAGCATAGAGGTTACCACCAAACCGTTTCATTGCCATTGTAGAGATGAGCTCCATCATGCATTTTGTTTTCTTGCTATGCACAATTTTTTGTTTGAATAGGGTATTCCTAGAATATCCAATTTCTTATACTAAAATTTCATGAACTAATATAAACCTTATTCTTATCTTGGAAATGGCTGTGGTATATGCTCTTGGATTGAGCAGAAGTGATTGAGTGTCATGCAGAAACAAGGTGTTTTGGTGTGCAATTCATGCTAGGGATTTGCTTGTGGCAGAGAAATTGGGTGTGAAATGTGGTGGGCTTCACCTAGCACAAGTAACCACCAGAAGGAGAGAACTGCCATTAGCCTCGCCAGTGCAGTATAAGGACCATTAATATGGTTTTAGATCAAGTTGGGAATATTGCTAACTAGTTTTCTGCCGAAGGCCAACAAGTAAGGCTTGTGGAGTGGTAGAGCATGGCTCCCGTGCGTTGGGCTGGTAGAGGGGATCTAATGACCCTTGGATGGGATCCTCAAGTCAGCAAATAAGGTGTGACTGCTGCCAAGAAGGAGAGGTTTTGCCAAACTGTGTCCAGATCCATCTCTCCAGCACGAGGACATATCACTAGTGTAATTTTACAAGGAGGGTAGCACACCTAATTTTTGTATTAGTCCCTAGAGACATTAGGGAATGTACATACACATTTCACTGGTTTTCTATTTTCTAAGAGTATTAAACAATTCTCCCAGTGTATTTTTTGTTTTTAGATTATTAAAGCTTTTGGTTTTCTTGAATGCCAGTGCTGTTTGGATTGTGAGAAACTATGGAATGGCTGTACATGCTTAGATTGCTTATTGTGGATTTAAAAGGCACTTGTACTCTTCAATCTCCATCAACAATAAACTTACCTGCTTGGATGAATTATTTATCCAGATTTAATGCACAAGCAACTTTCTCTACAGATTCTTAATTTTTTTATATATCTATGAATATATTTATTATAAATAGATTTTTTTTCTAAGTATATTCTTACAAACTCACGAATAATTGCGTATATTCTCTAAAACCTCTTCGATCTTCTCCAGTGACAAGCCAGAATGAGAAGGGGCTGATCATCTCTTATGAATAATCCAGATTTTCCTCTTTCTTTCTCCATGGTTTGAAAGATTTTCATTGCTGAAGCATGAATCTGTTGGTGCTTTTCTCTCACATTGCGGATGGAACTCGGCACTTGAGTCCGTGTTCACTGGAGTTCCCATTCTGTGCTTGCCTTGCTGGGCCGAGCAAGTTTTCAACACCGCGTGGGTGGTGGACACCACGAAATCGCAAGCCATGTCGAAGATATGGTGAGATTTGTCATGGAAAGAGACCAACAAGTTTGAGACGTGAGCCCAAAGAGCTGCGCCATGCAGCCAAAGGAAACGTCCAGCTAAATGGTTTGTCGCATGCAAACCTCGTCAACTTTGCCAAAGCATCATCACTGTGATATAGGTTGATTGGAGATTCCTACCAACTTAGATGCGAGTTTGGTAGATTTCGCCGAGAAAGAACGAAGGACTGTGGACTAGTCCTTCTTCATTCGACCTTGCGCTCACAGGATCTATAAACTAGGGACATTCTTCTGGCGAGTTAGAATGCTGGGCGGAGTGGGAATCAATACACTCGAAACTCCGCCAAGCAAGCGATGGGTTTCTCGCTCATTGCTCCAGCTCTCAAGAATGTGATAGCAGCAAGTGACTTTGGCTATGACGAAACGAGCTCGGTCCGCATAGCCGATCTGGGATGTGCGTCTGGCTACAACACAATCCGTGTAGTGGGGCTTGTTGCCGAGGCAATTCGAGCATGCTCGAGATCCAAGCCTTCTTCTCGGACTTGAGCTCCAATGACTTCAACACGCTGTTCCAGCAGCTAGAACAGTCATCGCCATCACTGCGACGCTTCACTGCCGCTGTCTCTGGATCCTTTTACGAGCGTCTCTTTCCCAGCTCCAGCCTCCACATTGTAATGTGTAACATATCGTCGCATTGGCTGTCCAAGGTGAGACTGGATTCAAGTTCATTCCTTCGATTTAGTTCTTCCTTCTATGGGCATTTTGGTCGTCTCTCCAGACTCCGGAGAGGAACGTGGATGATCGGTGTGGTCCATTCACGGCGAGGAATGAAGCCTTTGTGGTGCAAGCTCATGAGGATCTTTGCCGGTTCTTATCCTGCCGAGCACAAGAGATTGTTCCTGGAGGAATTCTCTGCTTGATTGTTCTCACGGATGCGAGTTGCCAACCCTAGTTCACGTCCTTCGAGGACTGGCATGTTACACGCTTGGAGCTGGCATGGAACGATATGGTCGAAGAGGTACGCATGCATATAGTTTCTGGAACCATGACAAACTTGTTTTACGGCAGGAACTGATTGATCGCGAAACTCATGCTACGTTCTGCATGCCTTGGTTTTTCAGGACCATTGACGAGGTGATAAAACCAAATGCCCGCTAATGCCATTGAATGATTAACATGAGGTGGGAGGTCAGATGGATTCCCCGGGATGAATCTCACATAAAGTCGCTCGTAGAACTTGTTTACCAGGTCGCCATTGTTTCTGAGATGCCGGGAGATGGATCCCTTGGTAATGTTCTTGCAGAAGGAAACTTCAGCTGCAGCATAGCTTTGGAGGTTGGATATTGTTGGAACCAAACACTTGCCCTGCTCGAGTGTGAGGATCGCGAATGATTCCCCGGTTTCATCCTAAAACGAAAGTGACGATTTCGAGGTCCCACCGAGATTCGAACTCATGTCGTAACCACTAGCCTATATAATAACCAATTGTTTTTTCTGTAACAAAGTATTTGGGTAAGGTAGATCAGGAAGCGTCCATGGATTCCCAGCCGCCTCACGTTCTTGCGTTTCCATTTCCCACGCAGGGTCACATAAACCCGATGATACTTCTCTGCCGCAAGCTCGCCTCCATGGGATTCGTCGTAACTTTCCTCAACATTGGCAGCAAGAACATGAGCTCCACTGCTGATGAGCAATTCAGGTATTTTTTTCGTGCTCGAGCTCTTGGAGAGTGCTTTGAATCGATTATCAGCACCCATTTGAGAACTTCATGTAAACAGGATCATGAGCATCTCTGACGAGTGCCTCCCATCTGGCCGGCTTGGAAACAATCTCCAGATGTATCTCAACGCGATGGAGGGCTTGCGGGGCGATTTCGAGACAACCGTGGAGGAGCTCATGGGCGATTCGCAGCGGCCCCCTCTCACTTGTATACTAAGTGACGCTTTCATTGGTTGGACTCAGCAAGTGGCCAACAAGTTTGGGATTTGCAGGGCGACTTTGTGGACGAGCTGCGCGACGTGGGCTCTCGCGTGTTTCCATTTCTTGTCGCTCGAAAGCAATGGCCTCCTCCCAGCATACGGTAAGAACCATTTCCATAGCTACTATTATACAAAACTCTTTGCAGGAAGTAGCAGAGTTTTGGATTTCATCCCTGGAATGCCATCTTCTTTTGCTGCGAAGTATCTTCCTGACACGATCCAGAACGTGGAGCCTTACGATCCAGGCTTTCTCAAGCGCCGGCAGAGGAACGAGATAATGAGAAACGATGCTTGGGTGCTCGTCAACTCCGTTCTGGAGGTGGAGGCATCGCAGATCGAAGAGATCTCCAGGAGCGAGAACCCAAACTTCGTTCCAATCGGGCCCTTACACTGTCTAAGTACGGATGACACCCGCACCGCGCGATTAGCAGTCGCCAGTCACTCTCCCTGGAGGCAGGATCGAAGCTGCTTGGACTGGCTCGACCGGCAAGCTCCAAATTCGGTGCTCTACATCTCTTTTGGGAGCCTGGCAACCGCTTCTCACGATCAAGTGGAAGAGATTCTCGCCGGACTGGATAAGAGCGGCAGTGCTTTCTTGTGGGTGGCAAGGCTGGATCTCTTCGAAGACGACGACACCCGAGACAAGATCGTGGCTACGGTCAGGAACAGCCAAAACAGCCTCGTCATCCCGTGGGCTCCTCAGCTAGAGGTACCAGAAACAATAGGATGAAAGCTCATAATCAAGTTCTGTACATCTACAGGTTCTTGAGCACAAGTCCGTGGGAGCATTCCTCACACATTGTGGTTGGAATTCCATCACGGAGGCCTTGGCCGCCGGAGTTCCAATGTTGTGCAAGCCTTGCTTTGGAGACCAGATCATGAACTGTGCCTTGGTGGTGGATCATCTCAAAGTGGGTCTTCGTGCTACGGACGAGGAGCAGGACAAGCAAACCAGCGCTGGCCGGATTGAAAAAGTGGTGAGGCTCGTAATGGGGGAAAGTGGACAGGAACTGCGAAAACGAGCCAAGGAATTGAGCGACACCGTCAAAAGAGCCGTAAAACATGGCGGAAGCTCGTATGCCAACATGCAAGCTTTTGTGGAGGACATGAAACGAAGAGCATTGAATTGACAAAGGTGATATTTCGAGTCTTTTCTGCAATCTATACCAGCAATATAGGCTTTCTTTGTCCCTCGATCAGAGAAAGTGCACCAAGAACAAGCGGTGCTTCGCGAAACCACAGCGATCTGATAAAAGCCACTGCTTTGAGCAGCCTGAGTGGCCAAGCGATCGCATAGCATTACTTACTTGCTGCTAGCAAACTTGTGTTCTCTACGAGCACTTCAAAGTGTCTGGAACAAACGGCTGTAGAATATTAAGAATATACTGCTACAAAGACTCCTCCACTCTTGCATTTCCTTGGATTAGCCCTGAGACAGGTCGGTCATCTGGACCACCTCTATGGAGTGAAAGGTGTCAAAAAGCTTGTATCGTGAGACCATTGTGGCATCCAAGACATTCGATCCAGCTCTGGCGCCCATGAAAAATTCGGTGACTGTAAGAAGATGAAATTGCGGCCTTATGGAACATGTCCAAGGAATATTCTAAATGGCCGTATTCTAAGTTCTCATTAATACCAAGTATACGCAAAAATCTTTCTCTTGTATTCCATTGAAGTTCTCCTTTCCATGGACTAATATTTATTATATTCACTTTGTAGTTTTTTTTCTAACTGCATTGCAAATGGAATTTGACTCTCAAGTCGGCGTCCACAGGAGTTTCCTGCGTTGCTTTGCTTTGCCCAGCAAATTTTCTGGGTGGTTGACGGAGTTCCATGTTTCAAGGAGGACACGGATGCCGAACGTAAAGTAATTTTCTATTCGAGTGTCTTTTCCCATTTGGAAAAGATGTAGGTTTTGGGTATGGTAGATCGAGGAAGCCATGGATTCTCAGGCGCCTCACGTTCTCGCGTTTCCGTTTCCGGCCCAGGGTCACATACCTCCGATGTTGCATCTCTGCCGCAAGCTCGCCTCCATGGGATTCGTCGTAACTTTCCTCAATATTGGCCGCAAGAACAAAAGCAGCTCCACTGGTGACGAGAAATTCAGGTGCCTCACACAGATGTAGTTCTTTTGTGTTAAATCTTACTCGATCTTCCCTTTGAATCGATTCTCGATCTTGTGTAACAGGTTCATGAGCATCTCGGACGAGTGCCTTCCATCTGGCCGGCTTGGAAACAATCTCCAGATGTATCTCGACGCGATGGAGGGCTTGCGGGGCGATTTCGAGAAGACCGTGGTGGAGCTCATGGGCGATTCCCAGCGGCCGCCACTGACTTGTATACTCAGTGACGTTTTCATTGGGTGGACTCAGCAAGTGGCCAACAAGTTCGGGATTTGCAGGGCAACTTTGTGGACGGGCTGCGCGACGCGGGGTCTCGCGTATTGCCATTTCTCGTTGCTCGAAAGCAATGGCCTCCTCCCAGCACACGGTAAAAACCACTTCTATTTTCCATTCACGAGCTTTCTTTGCAGGAAGTAGCAGAGTTCTGGATTTCATCCCCGGAATGCCATCTTCTTTTGCTGCAAAGTATCTTCCCGACACGCTTCAGATCGAGGAGCCTTACGATCCAGGCTTTCTCAAACGCAAGCAGAGGAACGAGATAATGAGAAACGACGCTTGGGTGCTCGTCAACTCCGTCCTGGAGGTGGAGCCATCGCAGATCAAGGAGATCTCCAGGTGCTGGAACCCAAACTTCGTTCCAATCGGGCCCTTGTACTGTCTATCGGACGAAACCTCGCGATTATCAGTCGCCGATCACGCTCCGTGGAGGCAGGACCGAAGCTGCTTGGACTGGCTCGACCGGCAAGCTCCAAACTCGGTGCTCTACATCTCGTTTGGGAGCCTGGCAACCGCTTCTCACGATCAAGCGGAGGAGATTCTCGCCGGACTGGACAAGAGCGGCAGTGCTTTCTTGTGGGTGGCGAGGCTGGATCTCTTTGAAGACGAGGACACCCGAGAAAGGATCTTAGCTACGGTCAGGAACAACCAAAATTGCCTCGTCATCCCGTGGGCTCCTCAGCTGGAGGTAACCATGCGAAACAATTAAGTGAAAGCTTATAAGAAAGTTCTTATCGACAGGTTCTTGAGCACAAGTCTGTGGGAGCATTCCTCACACACTGTGGCTGGAATTCCATCACGGAAGCCTTGGCTACCGGCGTTCCAATGCTGTGCAAGCCGTGCTTTGGGGACCAGATCACGAACTGTGCCTTGGTCGTGGATCATCTTAAAGTGGGTCTTCGTGCCACGGTCGAGGAGCATGACAAGCAAACCAGCGCTCACCGCATCGAAAAAGTGGTAAGGCTCGTAATGGGGGAAAGTGGACAGGAGCTGCGGAAAAGAGCCAAGGAGTTGAGCGACACTGTCAAAGGAGCCGTGAAACCTGGCGGAAGCTCGTATGCCAACTTGCAAGCTTTTGTCCAGGACATGAAACGGAGAGCATTGAAGTGAAAAAGTTTAATCAACTTTTGCTTGTACTAAGCTTGGTTGGTCGAGTGAATACAAGTTTGCTAGCAGCACGTAATGTGGTGTGATCGCCTGGCCACTCGGGCTGCTCAAAGCAGTGATGGAGCTTGCGGCGTTTGTCACGTCGCTGTGGTTTCGCGAAGCACCAAGGAGACAAACCCACTCTAGAGTGTCTGGAACAAACGGCATTGTACTGATGAGCTCCTTTGCATCTTCCACACGTCCCATCCGGCCGAGGAGATCGATCATGCAGCTAAAGTGCTGCTTGGTGCAAAGCAAGGAGAAGTCGAGAGCCATCGACACAAAGTGATGTCTCGCGTCGCAGAGCTTTCCTTGGGAGCTACACGAGATGAGCACCGAGACGAAGGTTGCAGAGTCGGGCATCTGGACCATCTTCATGGAGTGAAAGGTATCGAGAGCTTGCTTCGTAAGACCATTGTGGCAGTAAGAAGCGATCATGGCATTCCAAGACACTCGGTCGGGTTCTGGGAGCACATAGAAAACCCGGCGAGCTTCGCTGAAATGCCCGTTTTGAGCGTAGGCTGCGAGAAGAGCCGTCCACGAGATCACATCCTTCTCGGGAATCCTATGGAACACTTCGAGAGAATGTTTTAAATGGCGTCTCTGGGAGTAAGCTGAGAGCATCGTGTTCCAACTCGCCATTGATACCTCGGAGCGAGGGATTTCATCAAAGAGGAGCTTCATTTCTTCCAAGTCTCCTCTCCGGCCATAAGCATCGAGCATCACATTCCATGCAACGCTGTCTTTCTCGTGTATGGCATCAAAGATCTCCTTTACACTGGCGATATCTCCGTTTTGCGAAAATTTCTTTAGCATCAATGTTGAAGAGATCAGATCCATTCCAGGCGTTCTTCTAAACAAGCGCTTGGATTCTTCGATATGCCCCTCTTGGGCATATGCGCAGCACAGTGAAGTTACCGACAGAGTGTCTTGCTCGGGCATTCTATGAAACAAATCCCTTGCTTCGTCTAACTTTCCATGTCGAAGATAGCCGGATAGCATTATATCCCACGACGCAAGATCACGCTCCCCCATCTTATCAAACATGTCTTTGGCTTTGAGGATATGCCCGTTTTGGGCATACACAGAGAGCATGGAGTTTTTAAGCACGATATTGTCGTCCTCGGCCGTGTTAAATATGTCCATTGCTTCCTCAACATGCCCTTCTCGGCCTAAAGCCGAAACCATGATTGTCGAGGAAACGATGTTATGTTCTGGAAGCGAGTGAAATATCTGGCTAGCTTCGGGCAGAAGCCGGTTGTGAGCATAAGCAGCAAGCATGGCGTTCCAAACGGCCAGATTTTTCTCTTGGATTCCATCGAACAGTAGCTTGGCTTGTTCGATCCAACCCATGTCGCTATATAGAGAAAGCATCGCCGTGCACGAGACGACGTTATGCTGTGGCATTCGATCAAAGACCATCTTTGCTTGGAGGGGTCGTCCACATCGAGCACACGCCGAGAGCATCGAGTTCCATGAAACAATATCTCTCTCGGGCATTTCCTCGAAGATCTTTAGCGAGTCCCGGGGCCGTGAGCTCTGACCGTAAGCAGCGATCATCACTGCCCAGGAGAAGAGATCCCGCTGTGGCATCCGATCGAATGTGGCCCTAGCTTGCTGGAGATCGCCCGCGTGAGAATATGTCGAAAGGAGGGAGGTCCACGAAGCCAAATCTCTTTTTGGCATTGAAAAAAAGAGTTTTTCTACTTCGATGGTATCTCCACGCGAGCTCATCAATGCCAGCATTGCATTTGCTGACAGAAGGTCGTGCTCCGGCATCCTCTGAAACAAGCTGTTTGCGTGATCAGCATCCCCAAGACTGGCAAATGCTGAAAAGAGTGTTGTCCAGGAAATAAAACAATGCTGTGGCATAGAGATAAAACAGCGGTTAGCTTCTCCTGTGCAAAAACTACGTGCATAAGCCGCTAGCATCGCGTTGAACGAAACAAGGTCTTTCGTTGGCATCTCCTGAAACAAAACTTCAACTTCCGCTAGATACCCTTTCTTGGCATATGCGGTAAAGATGGTGGTCCAAGATACAGCATCTTTACGAGGCATGGAATCGAATAAATTTTTTGCTCTTTGCGTAAAGCCACAAGAACAAAACCCATCTAGCATTGTGTTCCACGCAACTAGATCTTTCTCCAGCATCGCCTCAAACACGTCCCAGGCACGGTCGATATGCCCGTTTCTGGCATACGCCGAGATCATGGCGGTGGAGGCCACTCTTTTGCAATGTGGCATCGCATCCAGCAGCACGCGAGCATCGTCAACAAGCCCATTTCGCGCGTAGGCCGAAACGATGAGCGTCCAGGAGAAGGGATTCTTGGTCGCGTCGGGCATGGCATCGAAAACAGCGCGCGAGCTCTGGGCGCAGCCACACCGGCCGTAGGCATCGATGAGCTTGTTGTGGAGGAAGGCATCGCTTGGCGCCAAAAAGGGGCGGATCCTAGCGTGGACCTCTCGAACTGCGGAGATGGAAGCGCAGGATCGAAGGAGCCGGAGACAATCCTCTCGATCCATGGCCCATTCTTAGTAGACTGTAATTAGGCCACCTCCACGGAGCGTGATCGGCGACTGAGAATCGCGAGGCTTCGTCCGATTGGAACGAAGTTTGGGTTCCAGCTCCTACCCAGAAAATTTGGTCGGCAAAGCAAAGGCAAGCACAGCATAGGAACTTCGAGTTCCATCCGCAATGCGAGACTCCGGATTCATTCCAGCACTGCTTGCGATCGATTGCACTGAGAAAACTTTCAACCCATGGTGATCTAGAGGTAGCATTGACTCGAGAGCCTAAGAGATGATCAGACCTCTCTGTAACCTGGCCAAGTCACTGCTTTGGAGCCCCTCATCTGTAAGAGATGGTTG